CGCAGATCCGTGTAGAGTCAGCATGGCCGGGGGGGAGGGAGGGGGACAGGGGACTGTGGGTCATGCACTAGCAGGGTCACGCACCAGCAGGGCCAAGGGGTGTGGGTTGGGACAGGCCATGTACCTTTGCAAATGGGTCCCCGTTGGAAAAAGTTTCAGAACCACTGACTTAGATAACACTGCTGTATCATTTTCTATAACCCCAGATAATTTATCTTTGTCATTTTAGATTGTGCAGTCTGTGGCTTCTATAAAGAAGCTAACACATTTCAGACCCTATACAATAGAAATAATAAATACTAATTAGACTCAAGGGTCACATAATAAGGCTGAGTGACCTAGTTTGGAATAGATGAGACTACATGCCCACATACAACAGATACCTTCATTTGAAAATTGTAGCTTACGATCCTGATTTGGTACATTTCCTGATAAAGAAAAGTGCCCAATTGCTTCTCAAAAGCATTGTCTCCTTTCAAATACACCTCCTTAAAATTTCCTTTTTGTTATGACTAATGTTGGCTGGAGAGTACCAATTATGTTCCATGACAGCTTTTAAGGTTTCAAAATCTGCTTTTGTTCTGCATTGGAATAAAACCTTTATAACATTTGGACAAAATATATTTAAGTGGCAATGTCTATTTTTGGATTGAAAAGATGAGCTTTGTATTTGAATTTTTCTTGCTCTCTCATTAGATATGACCAAAGAGCTCTACATCTCACAAACGTTCCCATTGAAAACTTCATCAGAATCAATACGGAGATATATTCCACAAAACACGTTTGCTTCAATGGATCAACATAGTTCAACAGAGATATATTTGACTGAAAATGCTTCAAGCAGCTCAAGCAAAAAAACTACGCAATAATTAGGCAGCAGGTGGGCTAAGACCAGTGTCTAGCTTGCTGACAAATATTCCTGCATATTTTTGTGTTCTTGGATAAGTCTGCCTGTTTCTCTTTTCTCTTGTTTCATGCTTGAGTTACAAGCTTTTTCTGATCTGAAACCATATTTTTGTACCATGCAAGTAGAGTTTCTAGTGCACTGGGATTCTGGTTCAGAGACAGGATTCTTGAATACAACGGAAATAATAATAAAAATAGTAATAATAGCAATGAAAATAGGAACGTAGGAGTTCTGACCCCTTGTCTGATATAGTATCTACTCAGCAGCAGTTTGCCTAGAGATGCTAACATTTTTCTAAACCTGAACCTTGCCCATTATAAGTGAAAATGTAAGCAACAACAGAAAAAAAAGACTTGACAATAATCTTCCCTTTTGTAGATCTGTTACAAATGGTT